CCTCCAGTTCTTGAAGTGTAAAAGGCACATTATACTGTTCTTCTCTGAGAGAAGAAAAGTCCAAGGTACTAACTCTCTGGCAGACTTTGAGGAAAGAAACAAGGGGCATAGATGGAGCCCTCGGGAAATACGGACCAGATGTGTGCCAAGTTCAATGGCAACGTCGAGAGGGTTTGCTACATCAACACCAGCGACCCATAGAACAGGAGCCGAGTCAGGAGAGTATTTACCACTCAATTTCCTCACTTTTTTCCAGACTGCACTCATAGAAGAAGCAGAGGTGATGGTGGAAACATAGTCTCGCCAATAAGTGCGTTTAGCTTCACGGATGACAGGGCGAGCGATCGCACGCTTCTGCTTAAAATCAAGAAGTCTCTCAGCAGTTCTATTGTACCGGTACCTGCCCCATGCAGCACGTTTCAAACGTACTGCACGAGCACAAGCAGGAGACCACCAAGGCACGCACTTCTGAGAATGCCTGCCTGAGGTTTGGGGTATAGAATGAGAAGCTGCAGTATAAACTGATGTCGAGAAGATGTGTAGGAGCTCATCAATGGAGGATGAAGAAGGAACCTCACTAAAAGCAGTGAGGTGTGAGTAAAGATCCCAATTTGCCCGATCAAATTGCCAGCGAGGGCTACGGAAAGGTGGTGAATAGGAAGGAGAAGTAAGAATGATCGGAAAATGATCGCTGTCATGTAAGTCTGGTAGAACAGACCAGGTGAAGTCTAGTGCAGTGGAGGAAGAGCAGACTGATAGATCGATGTAAGAGAGAGTATGAGTACGAGGATCAAAATGGGTGGGAGTACCCGTATTTAAAACATGGTGGGGGTGAGAGGCGAGAAAAGCCTCCAACTGGATGCCACGTGAGTCACAATGAGACCCCCCCCCCCAGAGGAAATGGTGGGCATTAAAATCACCAAGTAACAGAAGTGGTGGTGGTAAGGATGAAACAAGAAAGGCAAAGTCTGGGATAGAAAATGCTCGAGAAGGAGAGAGATATAAAGAACATATTGTAAACCACTTATTCAAGTGGATACGGACTGCAGTGTAATGCAGCGAGGTATGGACAAATAGTTGACAGTACGGAATATCATTGCGTAGAAGAAGGGCACTTTCATTAAAGGTCCCATCTGAGAAAGGATCCGAAGAATACAATAAATTATAGCCTGAGATAGGTTGGAAAACGGCCGAGTGTAATTTTGGTTCTTGTAAGCAAGCACCAACAGGGGAAAACCTGGAAAGCAACATCTGAAGCTCACCCCGATTACCCCTGAGGCCGCGGATATTCCACTGTAAATAGGCCATGATTAGCGATGAAGAAAATATCAGGAATCTGTAGGTAAAGGCACCTACGGACTAGAGGGGTTAGAAAAGTCAACGTGTGGTGTCATTGGAAGACGTTCAAGTAGCGAAGGAACGGAGCGTTGCGAAGAATGGGGTTGTGAAGATGGAGGAGAGGGAAGAGAAGGAACAGGAAGTGAATCAGTGTCCATTGAAGGTTTAGTCTCTGCAATATATTCTGAAATGGCTTCAAGTGTTTCTGAATTCAAAGATGTATGGGAGACCATATTGGAGATAGAAGGAGGAGGGTGAGTAAAGATTGGGACAGTAATGGACTGTACCAAAGTAGAGGGGGAGGGAAGAGTGTAAGGGACTGGAGATGAAGTGTGGGGGGGGACAAGAGGCAGAAACCTGGGAGGTGGCAGAAGAGGGAGAAACTTGGGAGGGGACTGGGGTGGAAGGCATAGTACGAGGAGGAGGGTGAATCTCCACACTTGTAATAGAGCCAGAGAGAGGGGAAGAACTAGGTACAGAGACTGGAAAGGTAAAGTGTGGAGGTGGAAGAAGGGAAGGAAGGGGCAAAGAAGATTTGAGCAATGTGGATTTTTTGGACTTCTGAGTAGAGGGGCGATTGGTATTAGGTGTCGTACGAGGTCTTGTCAATACTGGGGCTTGTGAGGAAGGACGCGAAGATGTGAGAACAGACTGAGTTGTAGTCAGGACGTCAGAGCCAAGGACAGCAAAAGGATTAGATGCCGTAGTGGCTCTGGGAGGGGTAACAACAGAGGAGGCTGCAGAAGATGGGACCCCAGAAGTGGGGGGATGTTTGGAAACACGAGAATAAGAAACACGGGGTAGTCTCCCTTGGAGGCGGAGATGAGTAACTGCCATAGCATAAGGGAGACCTTCTGCCTCTTTGAGGCAACAGATTTCACGTTCATTTAAGTAGACCTGGCAATGGCGGGAGTACGAAGGGTGAGCTTCATTACAATTAAGGCAAGATGGAGGTTGACTGCAAGATGTATTAGAATGGTCGTCGGCACCACAGACTGGGCATTCGGCCATAGATCTGCAATATTTCGCTGGGTGACCAAAACGCCAGCAATTTCTACATTGTTGCGGTGTAGGTATCACCTTTCGAACTTGTAACCGATGTCCCGCGACATATACAGAGGACGGGAGTTCTCGGCTGTCAAAAGTTAAACGAGCCACATTGCAAGGGTAACGTCTCCGCCCCCGGGCAGGAAGGACATAAGTGTCTACTTTGAGGATTGGGAGATCCTGGAGTTCCAGCTGTTCAAAAATGTCATTGCCACATGACTGGAAATTCTGTTGGACTATGGTATGGGGCAGAATGACAGTACCACTACAAGAATTGAGAGAAAGATGTTTTTCAATAGTGATAGGAGTAGTATCGATATTCGAAAGGAGAGAAAGATCATGAGCTTGGGCAGCATTCTGGACAGTGACGATGCGCATACCGCTCTTGAGAGCATGAAATGAAATATCTCTACCAACATGACGCAGGAGCGCTTTGCCAATACTATGGTCAGAAAGGTAGGCAGAAGAAGAAGTCGGTCTTAAAGTAAAGAATTTAGTCCATTGTGTGGTCCGAAACTGAGCGTGGAGAGGGAGTGCTTGACGTGTCGGTCTTTTCCGAGTAGAATGGGAAGGTAACGAAGGAGCATCATCAGGAGATTGACGTTGGCATTTAGGAGTAGGACCGGAGTTGGTCCAGCGTGAAATGGGCGGGCGATTCGAAAATTGCCGTACCGTAGAGGGAGAAGCCGGAAGCATAGTCAAAGGAGAGCGGAGTTCAGACAAATCGAAGGAGTCAGTCGAAGCCCCGGTACCTGAAGCGGGTGAGGAAACAGCACCAGCAAGAGGTACAGGGGCATCAGGAGTGTCCGAAGAGTGGTCTAAACACAAGGCAGGGTCAGAATGGGGTGCGGTATCAAGAAGGGGCCCGGGGGTAGTGGGTTCATGGACTAGGGCTGCCATGGTTAGGTTACTCCTTTGCTTTTTGTTTTTAAGAAAAAAAAAGAAAGAAAAGAAAATAAAAATAAAAAAGAGAATAAAAAAAAGGGGGGAGCGGGGAGGAATAGTTCCCAGGAGGAATGAAAGGGCCGGAAATCTCCCTCCGCGCCCAAGAGGACCTCAACACCGCTAGTAGCGCAGATGCAGCATGGAACCCGTGCCATACCCTACCCTTCATGCCAGTAAACCGGCAATCCGGGATAGCAACCTCACATCTGCCGAGCTACCTCGGTGGACAAAAGAGAGGGCGGCCGGATATCCGCCACAAAGCATACCTCCTTCGGCCACCATCCCCGGAATCCAAAAGGTGGCTTCCAGAGATACACCCGTCGCCCGAAAGACACCCAAAGCTACTCCGGGATACCGGAGAGGGATCGGGACATCCCCAGGCAATCCAGATTCCACGGCAAACTACGCCACCGCCAAGAACCTCAACGGAATGGGATGGACCCCGGTTCCTTTCCCCTACCTAGGAACTAGCGCGCCTGTGGGAGAAATCCCAAAGGCCAAAAAGAGGAAGGGCAAAAGGGAGGGGTGAGGAGGAGGAGGAGGAATGGAAAAAGGGGAGGATGGGATAGGGGAGGGGAGAATGGGGGGTAATTAGGTTCGGTAACCCATACTGTCAGTGACTATATGGCCAAATTACAGTACATATTCTGTTCACTTTATAGGTTAAGTTTGATAGTTGAATGGGCAATTTCTTGTGCTCAATTGATAGAACAGAAGGTATACTAGTGAAAAAGCTAAGAATTTGATGGAATTGGCTTAAAATAGCACTCAAAGTGTGCAAAAATCACTGATACATAAATTGTTCCCAGGCTACCAATGTTGCACCTGCATAATTCTATAAATTTTTCATATTTTATATTCTCTTACTATTTCAGTTTTTTTTTTTTTCTTAGTCATGACACTGTCAGCACTTAATTTTCAGAGTTGCAACAGTGAAAGGGTTAATGGATTAAGGGATATGGGAATGTGAAATTGACCCAAGCAGGGGAGCCATAGGCACAACAAGAAAATACTGTGTTAGTATTAGTGGCTCTTCAGTCTCCTTAACCCTTAAATTGTCCAAGCAGATCTATGTTCACATGCGTAGTGCTCCAAAAGTAGATCTACGTTTTTTTTTTTAAATTTTCAAATATAAAAAAAAACGTAGACCAAAGTTTTTTACATGTTTTCAAATGTAAAAAAAGAAAAGCTCTACTTTTTTTACATGCTTTCAAATGTTTAAAAAACATAGATCTACATTCGGACAGTTTAAGGGTTAAACAAGGACATCTTACTTTAAGCTGGGCTACAAAGGTAGAACCCTCAAAACCAGTCACAGGTACTGTATATTAGGTTTTTTTTGTTGTTGTTTTTTTAACAAATAATCACATAATTTTTATTTTCCAACACTTACTATTTCCTGAACCCTATTATTCCACTGGGATCTAAAGGTAGCAAGTTCTACAACTAATATAAATTAAAAAAATATATATATATAAGACTGATCATTGGTGGCAGAACATTCACATGCATAGTTCTGTTCATGTAATTGCAAATAGGGAATCACTTACACAGTACAGCAGTGAGAAAAACTGTCATTTGAAGAGCAATGAATCTGATGTAAGTGTTGAGTTTTTTGTGTAGATGTGTTTTCAAATTAGCTATAATATAGGGGCTAATTAGTAAATATCTAACAGTTTAATTTTTATTAACATAAAATGCCAAACATTTTCAGATTTACAATATTTAATAACAGCCTGGGTAAAATGCATATTACATGATACAGTATCTGAGAACGTCAAAGAAATTGAAATACAGTTCAATTAAAATATACAATAATAAGAGTGATTTTTTTAAAGTACTGTATTCTGGTTTTCTTATTCCAATTACAGTGTTTAAATATACACTACAAATATATTTTATAAAAATTACCCATATTTTCAATAAGACATTTTTAGTACATTTCTGATGCACAAATTTAATGAATTTTGGATGTTAGAAAAAACTTTTGCACTTAATTTTTTGTATTAATAACAGAATTTATGAATGTGGATATATCAATGTATCATGCAGTCACAATAAGGCACAGATGTGTTTGCTTGTTTATATATTAAATAAATGGTACTGTACATCACAGACTGGAGCAAATATTTAGTAAAATGAGTCATGTACAGTATACAATAATGTTAATTATGTAATAAATACAGTACGTACATGTAACTTTTAATGCACATTTTCCACTGGAATTAGCTATTGCTGACAGGACACTAATGAGTTATAATAGCTACAAACCTTTTTACAAGCCCAAATAATCAAAACATTTAATTTAAGTCTTTATATATAATTGAATCCAGCTAACTCTATACTGAGTTAAAAACAAAGTTGTCATTCTATTTTCCAGATTTTCTTCAAATTACAGGTTTCCCTTGCTTTATGGTTTTGCTTACATGTGGTGACTCCATCTATATTGGAAATTCTCTTATCCAATTGCCCAAGCCCATCGGTACTTGATTTTTTAATAATAATGCAATCATTAAGCTCCAAACCTGTATGCATCATGCAATAGGTCAGTTTGTTAAAAAGCAAAAAAGCCTGTATGAAAGGTGAGACCTTCAGCAAGGTCATCAGTTTGTGCATTAGGGTGGTGTAGATGATGGAAGGGAATCCTACATGCCCAATGAAAGATAGTATGATCTATTAAGATAAGTGACAGTGACCTGGCAGTCCTCATAGAGTGGTGCTAATCATTTCTCTATGTGGTATCCATGAGCGAGCTGCACGTGTCCGATTCATAAGCATGAAAATGTGGTTTCCCAAACCTGACGGCAGTAGGAAGGTCAGAATTCAAACTGTGGTTTGATAGAAAACAATTTGTGGGGATCCAACATGGACCAATGTTATTACTAGAGGCTGTAGAGTTGTTGAGGGAGTACTAAAAAATTTAGAAATTAAAACGTGAAGGAAATCGGAAGGCTGTGAATAGACGAAAGTGATCGAGTCTGCCCAGTCTTTGCCCTAAACAGTGTGTCCAGGAGCCCAGATTATATATATATATATATATATATATATATATATATATATATATATATATATATATATATATATATATATGTGTGTGTGTGTGGTGTGTGTGTGTGTGTGCAATAAGATCACAGTAAACAGGCGATTTCAGAATATGCAAAACAACCACTGTGAAAGAAGAGAGAAATTTGTGAGTAGTCACAAAAGCTCTTGGAATTTCTCTATTCTTTCACGGTGCATATATATATATACATACATACAATATATATACATATATATATATATATATATATATATATATATATATATTTATTTTATAGGTAGTAGGTTGGTAGACAGCAACCGCCCAGGGAGGTACTACCGTCCTGCCAAGTGAGTGTAAAACGGAATCCTGTAATTGTTTTACATGATGGTAGGATTGCTGGTGTCTTTTTTCTCTTAAACATGCAAGATTTCAGGTACATCTTGCTACTTCTACTTACACTTAGGTCACACTACACATACATGTACAAGCATATATATACACACCTCTCTGGGTTTTCTTTTATTTTCTTTCTAGTTCTTGTTCTTGTTTATTTCCACTTATCTCCATGGGGACGTGGAACAGAATTCTTCCTCCGTAAGCCATGCGTTGTAAGAGGCGACTAAAATGCCAGGAGCAAGGGCCTAGTAACCCCTTCTCCTGTATAAATTACTAAATTTAAAAAGAGAAACTTTCATTTTTCTTTTTGGGCCACCCTGCCTTGGTGGGATACGGCCGGTTTGTTGAAAAAAAAAAATATATATATATATATATATGTGTGTGTGTGTATGGCAGTGGTGAGAATTGCACATAACTGCTGTGAAAATACTATCTGACTCCAGCAATTATTCCCTTTAGAAAAGCAACAGCATAACCAACACCAAAAGATCTGGAACCATCAGTATATGTAGCTATAGCATGAGAATGACACTGAAAGTATTTAAGAAAGAGAGTTAAGTTGTAGGAAAGTGAGAATTGGAGCATGGAAGGAAGGAGAAAATTTAACTACCACTGTAAAACTGGTTTATATTTTCGTTATATATAGGAAGTGCTAAACCTGTAGGGGTCATACAGTGCCCAGGGAATGAAGGACATTCAGGTTCAATTCAACAAAGAGAGCAAGTCCAATTTTTTGGATTAAGAGCCCCTCACTGGCTTCAAGGAACCAACTACCCTTGAGAGGTTACATTCATAAGAAAGCATAAAAGAAAATAGATCCAATGAACATATTTTATATGAAATCTTATTTTCAATTTACTGTCTTGTGCTAAGTATAAAGAACATGGATACCAAGCCAAAGTTAAGAATAGGGGTAGGAGGAAGAGACAGGGAGACATGCATTCACAAATTCATAACATATACATCAATCCAGGTAAAGATAGGCTGGTTGGCTTGTGGAGGTAGAGTGAAAGGGAGAAGGACTGAATTTTCTTTTACAACTTGCATTTTTGTGTATGGCTGTTGGGTGCCTGTCTATACTGTATATGTGCTAATAATTTTTTGCAAAAAAAAAAAAAAAAAAAAAAAAAAAAAAAAAAAAACTGAGGTTCCTTAATGCCAGTTGGGGGTTTCTTCAGCCAAGGAACTGGAGCTGGCCTTCTCTTCTTGGATCAAACCTGAATACCTCCAATTCCCCCCAGGTGCTATATAACTCCTACTGGTTTTAGCACTCCCCAATGAATATAATATCAAACTAAGTGCTAGACCCCAAAGGATCATACAGCACTGCAAGATGGGATCTGTTAAAAAAAAAAAATATGCAGAGGTTAGGAACATGCAAGGCTAAGGGTTAGTGATGAGTGCAAAATAAGTAAAATAAATCAAAGATGGTGCAATAAGTTTCTGTTAAAATTCAGGGTGAGTCAGCATCATAGGTGGGACTTTGGCAAGTGTGTGGAAGCAGTGGAGATATCGGAAGTGAATTCTATATGGCCACTGATACAGGAAAATATATTACAATATGGTGAACCGACAACTGGATCTGACAGAGTGGTGCCAGGCATTTTTCCAAGAGATGTCCACGAGCAAAATGTGTGGCCAATATATAGGCAAGAAAAGTAATAGTAATGGTAAAAATAGGTAATGTACTCTTTAGGGAGTATGACTGCAGTTCATCTCTTTATTTAGTGTGACAATTTGGTACATGTTTAGGTAAACATTAAAAAAAAATTGGAATTTGCAGAGGCTCAAGAGCAAATCTCTGTTTTACATTATCACATGTTCATGTTATGCAAATTTGCTTTACATACCATGGGCTGGGAATTCAACTATTGCATAAAGCAAGAGGAACCTGTATCCCAGTCATAGAATACAACTGTGAAGCATTTTAATAAATATTACTTTTCTTAATTTATACATTGCAAATATATATAGATAATTAAATCTATTCCATCTTAAGCCTACTAATATACAGAAATTATTTTTTTAAAAGGTTATCCCCTTTTCTATATTTTAACTGTCTCATGTTATAGCTTTTGTATCACTTAGCATAAGTAACAATTAGTATAAGTATACTTAAGATACCTCAACATACAAAAAGAAAATAATTGTGTAGCAATATACAGTATGCAGAATTTAGTTAAGATATTACAATATGCACCACACAGATATAAACTCCTGCTAAACTCGTATTTAGTTGAATACATTTCATTCTACTTCCAGTGTAAATAAATCATTTTAACAGCCTTTTCCTCTGATTTAAACAAATTTTGAAATTTTATACAGCTAAGAATTTTATATGTTCAACAAATAACAAGCAATGTTCACTTTGAGAAACAGTATAAATGCTACATCTATTAGTTTTGGGAAGAACATAACATAAAAAAATGAGAGAGAAGTGGCGAGACAAAATAAAAGATTTGTACACAAAGAGAGTATAATCTAGAATGGACGGAAGGAAGGATAGGGGATAATTACAGGAAGGATAATTACAGGTTTTGCATGCCAGGGGCTTGGGCGTCCAACAGAGGCTTGTGCGAGTGTGCTAGTTTGGAGTAAAGATAAGTGATTTTTATGGCTTGTGTTCTTGAGGTGTATGCAAGGTAACATTCACAACAACCTGGTAGCATTTACAAAGAGATTTAGGGAAACCAGTTAGCTGGACTTGACTCTTGGAGGCAGGAAGTGTAGTGCCTGCACTCTGAGGGGTGGAAATTCTGCAGTTTGTAGGGGTATCTGAACTGTGATATCTGTAAACTTCTGGCAAGACAGCTACTGAATGAGTGATGAGAGAATGAGAAATGAAAGTGTGTGAGGAAGAAAATAAGATGTAGAGAAAATTAGTGTATGAGAGGGGAGGAATGAAAATGAAAGCATGTGTGAGAAATAGGATGAGTATGTGATAGAATAAAAAGGAGAATTGAGAAAGGTGTAGCTTATAATGAGGGAGTAGAGAGAAGTGAAGGGAGACAGGATGAATAAGAAATGGGGGATGGGGGGAGGAGAAAGAGAAACTGATTATCAAAGAATGCATGAGAATGAGAGAGTGAAATAGTGAACAAAAAAAGCATGGCAAAGCAGGGATAGAAATTATGAGAGAATATGAAAAACAAATGAGTTGGAACTTTTTCTGCTTGAAAGAATACTGCAGTGATAGAGGGGAAAATGGGTAATACAGAATATGGGGTGCCCCAAGGATCAGTGCTTGTTTTGAGGGTTGTAACTGATATAAATGATTTACTAGTGGCAACAAGAAATATATACAGTGGACCCCCGGTTAACGAACTTTTTTCATTCCAGTAGTATGTTCAGGTGCCAGTACTGACCGAATTTTTTCCCATAAGGAATATTGTGAAGTAGATTAGTCCATTTCAGACCCCCAAACATACACATACAAACGCACTTACATAAATACACTTACATAATTGGTCGCATTTGGAGGTGATCGTTAAGCGGGGGTCCACTGTATATACAACTACAGTATTTGCAGATAGAAAAATTTTAACAAATAGAAAATAAATTAGCATTAAAAATCTAACACAATTTAAATAATATAGTTACATAAAGGGGAAATTAGATGGCTGAATTCAATGTAGAAAAATGTCATATGAATTCATAAGAATACCTGAAAAAGTGAAGGATCTTCGAATGATTATTTTAAAAAAAAAATTAGTCCACATAAATACAACTATAAAATATTTATATGCCACATTGACTAAGATAACCTTTAAGTATATGGATGGATATGAAGCACTGAAGAGTAAGCATAATATCTACAGTAGGCATCATAAACATGTACACACAAAAACAGATCTCACACAAAACAAAACCTCTCACCATAAATAATAGTTTTAGAAATTAATACTGGAATATGTATGGGTTCCTCACCTATATTAGTATTTTTTAGGATTACCCTTCTGCTTGATGTACTCCTTAAGTCTTAGGCACTGATAAGGCTAACATATGGAGGATAGAAGTCAACATCCTTCCACACTTGCTTACTGGCACTCAAGATTTTGGGGTTAGAGGACATGTCCATGCCAGAAAGAATACATTTAATGTGGTTCCAAACGTTCTCTGTCAAAAGTCCCTTGAACTTCCAGGCCAGTCATTAAAGTATGGTAAATCACAATCATTTAGCCAATTCTTTGTTTTATGCAGTATAACAAGGGGCACCATCTTCCATACAAAAGTTGCCCTGGCACTTCTGAAAACTACCAGCAAATAATCTGAGAAAAGATTAATGCACATACATATTTATGACACTTACTGTACAGTAAAAAAGTTTAAAACATTTATACAATTTTTTTTTTTTTTGTTGTATATGCTTAACTATTTTTTAATCCATTTCTTCTTTTACCATAGTACTGATGTTAACTTCAGCATTATTATCTGCAATGCCTCATATATATGTTAAATTGTTCAAAATTTATATTAGCATAAAATCTGAATATGCAGATGAAGTGCATTCCTGTATTTAAAAATATACATAAGGTACAAAAAATCCAAAGCATTCAATAAAATGAATTTCAGAAAAAAGAAATACAAATTATGAAGATTAAAAGCCTTGAAATTAGTGATTATTTTTTTAAACCTTGCAACAAAGAAGACAAGTGGATACAACATTAAATTACATAAAAGGCCATGTATAAAAGATAGGACTCTTTCTGATACATACAAATACGTAGTTACTGACGTAGCTCCTGGAAGAGCACATTGTTTGCAACAACTGTTAACAAGGATTGTAAACTAAAGATGGGACACAATGAATATATTATTATTATAATCATGGGGGAGTGCTAAACCCATAGGATTATATAGCACACATGGGTGGGGGGGGGGAAGGTATTCAGGCTCAATTCAGGGAACTGGAGCACAGATCCAATTCCCTAGCTCAAGAGCCCCTCACCAGCATTATGTCAGCCATGACACAGGTATTACACTGCCAACTGCCTCCTTCATGGGTGTTTAGATGCCAGCAAACACTACTGTAAATGAAGCAGACAGGCAGGCTTCTTGGTGAGGAGGGAAGGATAGGCAGACCACGATTCCACCAGGGATCTTGTATGAGTTAGTTTGGTACCTGTGAAAGATTAAAAGGTCCTGAACAGTGGAAGAAAAGAATCCACAAGTTCATTTCTCTGATCTCTAGCTGCTGTTATGAGTCACAAGTTCAGCAGTTCCTTGTGAGGAAATGGTATGGTGATACCGACAAGATGTGGAAAAAGACACTTATGTTCAGTTCGTATTAGGACTGAAGAAGCCGCTCGTGGCTAAACGTTTCCTTTAATAAATGTCCTGAACTGTACATAAGTGTCTTTTTCCAGTTCCTTGTGAATTTAACACATTAATAATCTGAACTCCAGCATGACCAGAAGACCCATAAACCCTTTTGTGCCTACTGAAGGTGTGACCACAGCCACTGAGTGCAAAATATTAGAGGATATGAGAAATCAAAAGCCACAATTCCTTGCAACAAACTTTGAGTCCGAGTCTTGCAAGTGTATCTCAGTTTAGCAATTTTGAATTGTGTCCTCTTGTTCTCCCTGTTACTGGTTCTCCAAAATCTCCATACTGGTGTCTGTACAAGAGAGCGCAAAAGTGAGAGTGAGAGAGAGAGATAGAGAATGAGAATTACATAAATGAATCCACATGCATTCATTATATCAAGAGTAAATCCTCTCCTGCACATATAGCAAAAAGACAGACATAATTCTTTAGGCCATATATATTAGTTATTTACAAAAATAAAAGCTTTCTCTCGCTTCTTATGAATATGTAACATCTGTTAAGCATACTGAATAAAAGTGTACAAAACATGTTATGGTTATATGAGAACACTAAACAGTTATTTCTCTCTAACTCCTGTAATTTGTGGGAATTACTGAAAATTCTGAATAATGGAAAGCAATTTTTACTTTTTTTTTTTTTTTCAAGAAAATTTTGACCTCAAAAATATGAAAAGCATTCTTATTTTATTTCAAATTTCAAAATTATGAAGATTCCTCTAATTAAAAGTAAGATTTTTTTATATATTCTGATACTGACATTTTATTTTCTAAATGAGGGAGAATTCCAAAGCCTATTGTTTATACTTATAGTCAAATCTGTTTAACCCTTTCAGGGTCCAAGGCCCAAATCTGGAGTCACGCACCAGTGTCCAAGAATTTTCAAAAAAAAAATTTGTTATTTTTTCTTATGAAATCGTAGAGAATCTTTTTGTGAACGTAATAAAACAAAAAGTACGAAATTTGGTGGAAAATTGACGAAATTATGCTCTCGCGAATTTTGATGTGTCAGCGACATTTACGAATCGGCGATTTTGCCGACTTTGACTCCCATTTTAGGCCAATTACATTATTCCAGTCAACCAAATTCTTAGCTATTTCACTAGTATTACTTCTATTCTATCGATTGAGCACAAGAAATCGCCAAGTCAACTGTTTCAACTACAAAATAAAATGATCGGAAATTGTTAATTTGGCCAATTTAACACAAAGTTCTAAATATTCCAATTTCAAAATAGGGTCCAGAATGAACAATGTAGGCATTCCTGGCACTAAACTAACATTTCCTCTGTTCATTAGTTATGTTTTGAGGCTTTACAAATAAATTCCATTTTGATTTTTTATTCACATAATGAATTTTTATTCACACCAAAAAATAGAAGATTTACTATTATGCAATACTGTAATAATTGTATAAATATCATCACCATATTTGTGAATGTATATTAGACCCACCAGCCGATGTGTATTAGACGTGTGAGGTCGTTTGTTTACTCTTGAATATCGGCAAAAATTTAACATTTCTGCTACTTTGAGCTCAGTTTCAAGCCATTTCCAGTGCTAAAACCAATCAAAATCATCTCTATTTCTGTAATATGTCTTCCATTCTATCAAATGAGACCAAGAAATCGCAAATACAACTATAAAAAACATACGAAAAAACACTGCAAAGTTGCTGTTTTAATCGAAAAATCATGATTTCATTTTTTTTCTCTCATTATACACAGTGTGCTGCAGGATCTGTTTTATGTGGTGCACACATACCACATAGATGTATTCTCTCATATCTAGGCCCAAATGTACCACTCACAGTTTATCAGAGTGAGCTGAGCTCATGGCGTAGATCTACGGTTTGGACCCTGAACATAAAGCCGTAGATCTACGGGACGGACCCTGAAAGGGTTAACTACCAAGTAAATTCAGTAGTGACTTGAGGTACAGAATAAGAATTATATCTGTTGTATAATTCAATATGCTTCTTTAATCAACACAGAATAAATTTTCATGAATCTCTTGCTTGAAGAAACTTGTGTGCAATGTAAATTAATTTAGATTTTTACTTATACATAATTCACAAATAGTATTGTAATTCATGAAAGTTATTCTGCACAATGGGCAACAGTATATAACAAATACCTTTTAATAAAAACTGAATTCAGTACAACATATATATCTCTGACAATATAATATTTACCCTTTAACATATATGAAAAGGCAGAGTAATTTACGAAGTACAGTAGTACAGTGGTACCCAGAGTTTCGGCCACAATTCGTTTCAGAAGGCTGTTCGAGGCCGTTACCAAACGAATTTGTTCCCATGAGGAATAATGTAAGTTAGATTAGTCGATTTCAGACCCCCAAAAATACACTTACAAAAGCACTTACAATAGAACACTTACATAATTGTTTGAGTTGGGAGCTGTACAAAACTTGGGGTACCACTGTACATCAAAGAGCCATGAAAAACTAACCCTTATAAGGTTAACACTTTCCATGAATATAATACAGCAATAATATATGCAAAATTAGTTGTACAAAAATCATTGTTCATTCACAACTAAAGAAATTCTACACTTACATATACCACATGGCATTAGTTTTGAAACATCAGTTGAACTTATGACTAATTTAAACTTAAAGATTGAACTCAATAAACAGCAACAAAATATTGCACAGAATGTAGTGTCATCACTTTTATGAGAAAACCTGGCATGTTACAATGGGTAAAGTTGTAATAATACAAATTTGTCCTGAAAATGCAGTGATTAGCATATCTAATTGTGAAAGTTTATCTGGATGAGATACAGTATATAATTGCTACCTGAGGTTTCCTAGTGGATCTCCAACCTATGAAAATGTGGTAGATGTTTTGGGTAGAGTACATACTCCAAACACTAACACCATTAGCATTTGATGGTCAGTTTCTTGAGTGAGCCATCAGCATCTGATGACAGGTTTGAGTGAGCCAGCTAAATATTTTTATCTTAAAACTCAGAAATAGGATACTATATACCAGGAAAGCTCAATCAAGACAGGACCTACTTTTTCTAAAGCTCCTCCTATGTGATCCATATATAAATCGTGATATTTGTACAATGCAGCAAGACTTGAATGAATGGTGGTGAATATGTTTCCTCTCCTTTTTTTTTTCTTTTTAGGGTCACCCTACTTCAGTGGGAGATGACCAGTGTGTTAAAATGTGTGGGTACTCACCTATTTGTGGTGGCATGGGTAGAGTCTTAACCCCTTGCAGTGTCGTGACCCCTGCTTGCAAACTTGCTCTCAGGGTCGAAGAATTAAAAATAAAAAAATTATGAAATAAGGAATCTTTTACCAAAAGTAATGAACCCAATATTACGAAATTTGATGGAAAACTTATAGAATTATGCTCTAGCTAGGTTAGTGGTCGCGGTGACATTTACACATTGGCGATTTTGCCCACTTTGAGCACTATTTTGGGCCAATTCCATTGTTCAAGTCAACCAAACTCATAGCTATTTTGCTGGTACATGTACTCCTTTTTTCTATCAACTGTGTACAAGAAACTGCCCATTTACTTATTTCAACTACTTAATAAAGTGATCAGAAATTGTTAATTTGGTAAATTTCATACAAAATTCAGAAAAAGGCAATTTCAAAATAGGGTCCAGAATAAGATAACATTTTCTCTGGTCATTCGTCATGTCTCCAGGTCCCTCTTACATTGCACTTGCTTTCCGTTCTGAATTTTTATTCACATAAAAAATAGAAGATTTCCTGTTATGCAGACTACTGCAGTATTGTAATAATTATATAAATAATATCAGCATATTTGTTAATAGATATAAGACCCATCAGCTGACTTGTACTGGTCGTGTCACATGATTTGTTTACTTGAACACTGACAAAAATTGAACATTTCTACTCATTTCAGCTCAATTTCAAGCTACTTTCAATCCAGAAACCAACCAAAATCATCGCTATTTCTGTAATATAGCTCCCATTCTATCAAATGAGACCAAGACAATGAGAATACAACCATAAAAACCATACAAAAATACACCGCAAAGTCGCTGTTTTAAACCAAAAACATGGTTGCAGTTTTTTCTCATTACGCAGTGTGTGCTGCACGATATTTTTTATGTGGTGCACACTTACCATATAGACCCATTCTCCCATATCTAGGCCCAAATTTACCGCTCACAGCTTATCTGAACGAGCTGAGCTCATGGCATCATATTAAGGACCGACAGAGGCTTCAAAGTTGTGATATAACGGGACTGACAGTGAAAGGGTTAACTCGTTTTCCTGCCCCTCAACTTACCACTTACCAGTCACTCTCTCCTAGCCTCTTGAGTCCTAGTGTACCTACTTGAACTATGTATGGAGCCTGTCTCCACCACTTCCTCATTAAGATCATTCCACCTCTTGACCACCCTGAGACTGAAGAAATAATTCCTGACATCCCTGTGGCTTAATTTGTGTCTAACTTCCAGCTTTGCCCCCCTAGTACCCTTTTCCTTCCTCTCAAACATCCTGTCCCTGCCCACTCTAATTCCTCAAGAGTATTTTTTAATGTTCAATACAGTGGTACCTTGACTTATGAGTGCCCCAACCTATGAGTTTTCTGAGTTACGAGCCATTGCTTGGTTGATTTTTTGGTTTGAGTTGAGAGCCAAAATCTGAGTTACGAGTGAAAAAAAAAATAATTACTGAAAAAAAACTTACTGAAAATGACATTTGACAAAAACCCCGGCCTAATGGCACAATGAAAGGTGGTTTTAGGACTTGGTACTTATAAAACAATGCTAGTGCAATGTTCTCACTGGAGGCAATCATGTAATTATCTTTAGTTATTCTACAAAAAAATAAAGTTGGTAAGTTTTTGACATTGCAAAATATCTTGCCCTTTACTCCCACGCAAATCCCAAAATATCTGGAATATTTCCAATATTCCACAAGCCAATTGTAGAACAATAATTTTTTTATGATTCCTGTTAATATTATTGCATTTACTTCAATAGTAAATGGTGGGCCTCATGAAATAAGTCAATAACTTACTTCCGAGATATTCATACATACAGTGGTACCTCGATTTACGAACTTAATTCGTTCCAGAAGGCTGTTCGAGTGCTGATACTGAACAAATTTGTTCCTATACGGAATAATGTAAATTAGATTAATCCGTTTCAGACCCCCAAAAATACACTTACAAAAGTACGCTTACATAATTGTTCGAGTTGGGAGCAGTTTGAAACTCGAGGTACCACTGCATATCGCAGCATTAGTGAGCTAATGCAGTTAGCCTCCCAAAAACTCCATTTTCTGTTACCCAGGACCAAAGAACACATTATAGGAAGGAGCAGTAATAATTTTATATATGCTCAGACTGGTCTTGGACACTTCCAATATTATGGCCTATTTTATGCATTCCAGAGTATACATCATGTTTCTATGTTATTTATAGTGTTTATTATGTCATATTTGATAAATTCTGATAGATAAATAAGCCGTAGAGTTGATATTAGCGTTATATTAAGTATTTTCTCCTGCCCCTGGGGTGGTTTTGGGGGGGCTGGAACAGATTAATGGCATTGCAATTAATTTCAACGAGGAAAATTGATTTGATATACGAGCAAATTGAGTTACGAGCTCAGTCATGGAACGAATTAAACTCGTAAGTCAAGGTACCACTGTATACCAGAAATTGCTCAGCAATCTATTGGTAGATTGTGATCAATGTTTTGGCCACCAATTGTATACAAAGTTTTTTTTATTCAGAGTCAATCAATCAAGCTGTACTACAATAATAGATTTATAAAAAAAATTCTTATTTACCGATATACTTTTGTGAATTAACGAAGTACAGTACAACCTCCAATTACTTACGAGATACGTTCCTGGAAATCTTTCGTAATTCCCCACAGACACCCATATTAATAGAGATCTGTTCCTGAATCATAACATTCCATATCTAATTTCATTTATTTTTTATCAATGAAATTAAAAACAATTTACAGTATTTAGAGGGGACCCTCCTTCTCTTCCTTTTGCCCCTCATTTCTACTCCTATTTTTTAACTTTTCTTTCTCCCATCAATTTCTAGCTAAATCTCTTTAGAAATGCTCTCCACCCTCTCACTATTATAGTGAAGTTAATGAGGGTAATTACATGCCCAAATTCTAGTTGACAGGCGAGGGGTTATGGTATAAGCAAGATGAGCTGCCATGCTTCAACCACTGATAATGTACAGAACGAGGCTGAGCTACTATCTGAGGGGCCCACCATACCAATTTAATTATTAAATCTACAGTTCTTTGCCAGTCTTTGCTAAATAAATGTGAACCCATTACATATGCATAAAATGAACATAATGTACATAAAATAACAATACATACTATGTGGTGTACAACAATAAAGATGATATTTATAGTTCAGCTTTAACAAAATCTTAATTATTAAATGTGCAGTTCTTGACCAATCTCTACAAAGCTCTCCATGTGCATAAAATGAAGGTATCCAAAATATGAGTATTAAAAAATAACTGTGAAGGCACAAGAGTCACGTAGAAAGTGAAGTTGATTCTTACGTTCTTTCATTCTTATGAGGTTGCTCTTGTTGCTTCCAGGTGCCATAAAAAAAACAGAAAAAAATAAATTTATTTTAAATGATTGCACCATTTGTAACTGCAGCCTGACATTCCTAAGAAACTGATTGGATTTAAAGTGCCAATTCAGAGGTTCATAAGTTTGAACAATATTTGAATGTTCACAAAACAAAAATCTGAGACACTAAAGTTGGCTGCCTTGCTGTACTCTAAAAAAATTTGTGCTGACATTTTAACAGTTTTCTGTGCTTTTCAAGGATTTGATTATACAATACAGTACTGTATTTCAAACTTACCTAATTGCAAACAGGATATGCAGAGCACATTACTACAAGCACTCTATTCAGCATTGTAAAGTATCATCCTAAACATAACATTAAACATCAACTTTCCTTTCATTGTAAAATTCAAGATGCAATTCAATTATGTGTTATATGGAAAAGTGATGTTATTGCTATAAGGAAAAGTTTATATAGTATATCACAGCTTACTATCAATAATTTATCTACCTAACTGGAAAATAAATGCAACAAATAAACAAAGAGATACTGGTCTTGCCATTGGAAAATGTTTTACTATACCAATTAACATAATCCATCTCACATCATAGCAAAATATTCAAGGCAGTGCTAACAATACTTGCAAACAGCATCTTAATTATGGTAAAAAAAAAAAATGTCTTTATATATGCTAAAAATGTAATTGACAAAATTAAAATCAAATTTTAAGGCATTGTTTATCAAAGCTCCAACATTAATTTTTTCTTGCTGCTGGCAATGCCTCATCCACACACTGCCTTTGATGCTGTGTTCCTTTTGGGAATTTCTCCCATCTTCTAACAGGTTGCCAAAGGTAGAACCTTTCCCAGACATTTAAAACTACCTTAAAAAGTTGCTAAGTCTTTGTGAAGGAACACAAATCCACTCAATGCCAATATTCATATCTTTTGTATAACACATACATTACTATCTATCCAAGTACTAGTAAACCCACATGGAGATAATAAAACAGAGTAGTAGTACTGCATACAGTATTTCAGCCTCACACGAATGTCTACTTCAGAAGACTGCTGAAGAGGACCTCGGCTGTAGGTCTAAATCTACAGTATGTTTAATTTTTTGTGTATATTCATTAGCATTATATACTATGTAATTCATCCTGTCATTTCTCATAAATTGCAACATGTGAGTTTATAATTTTAAAAATTGGTGAACTTAATACTGTTTGGAGTGTTAATTTTGAATTAAAACTGGCATTATTACTCCACACAACACATTGAAAAAATTATAAACTACATATTCTATATAATAAGGAATCCCTATCACATGAAATTAATGTGATAATTTTATATAACTTTGTTACATACATAGTTTTTTTTTTTAGCTGACTCAGAAGAGGAAATGTATAATGATGGCAATAGGAAGCTGGAAACAATTTGCTTGCCTTTGTGAGTGGTAACATGCTAAATGTAAAATCAGTTTACACAAAAATTTAATATTAATCTCCAGGATTATATACAGTATGATTACACAACTAGTCTGCCTGAACAGCAACAAGTAAAAACTCTGAGAAGTACAAATGGATATTTTACAAAATATAACCGGAATTATAAGAGTGTGAAAATGTTAGGTAGGGCACAAAACATAACTAAAGAGAATGGAGAAAAGCGCATTCCAATACTATGTTCAAGTGAAATAAATCCTTAAGGAGTGAATGATATAGGTACATAATACTGGTGTGTAATGGGTAGACCATGTAAAAGATGATATGTGGTGAATGAGCTCTGGCAAGAAAAAGACTGTAGATTTTAGCAGGATTATGATATGGCAAATGAATTGAAGAAAAAAGCAAGTTTGTGAATGAGATAGAAAATGGAAATATACATCACATGAAAAATCATTTAGGATGCTCTGTAGATATATTCGGTACTCTGGCAGTGGAATTTGTTGTTCACCAACTTTATGATTTAAGTATTGGATGAGGGGCTGCTCTGCACTCTATTGACAAAATTTCTTTTAATAAGGAAGGTACTGTACAGTACAGATAAAAGATACATATTTAGTTGCTAACCCATAAATAAATTATCCCCTAATGATAACCTGCTGAATACAGACATTTTAAGTGAATTGCATATTAGTAAATTACCAGGTCATATGCCAAGTACTACATGATAACACACGGTCGATGCCTCGGTGCTAAACCAACGGCTGCCATTATTGCTGAGGTAAAGACTTCTTGCACTCCTTCCTGTGTCTTAGCAGAACACTCTACATATTTGGAGAGGCGAGCTTTCTTAATAAGCTTCTTTCCATCTCGTGGATTAAGAACAGTCAGGTTCCTAACATCTTTTTTGGTACCTAATTGGAAAAATAAATAACATTTAGAATTATGACTGTTTATAACCATACAATTCTTCCCATCCACTGATACTTACCCATCTCTAACTCACGCTGAATTGTGATTCAGTAATACATATAAGAATACTGCTGAAGCTGACTTACTGCACTACTCTGATTTTCCCTTTTGCACAGACAGTAAACCCTCTTGCAACACTACTTCACATAAATGATTTTGCTGCAACACAGATAAAAAAAATGCCACCAAAAATTTTGATACAGCATGAAAACCTTATCATATGCTGTAAAGCATGAAAGAAGCAGCCATAGCAACATGTGATATCATGAGACTGCTTCTCTATCATCTGTCTGTAACCGGAGTATCACACATCTGATGGTCAAATGTGTGATGCGGGCTGCATGGTTTTGTTGACGTTGTGCAGTGTGGAACTAACATAAAAGTGAATTCATAATTTCGCAAGAGGGCCACATCCATTTCCTAGAAGGGAAACATGCAGCCTGCGGGCCACAGACTGGGGACCCCTGCAATATACTGAACCCAACTGATGATTCGCTTATACAGTGGAACCCCGGATTTTGTCTGTTGTGGACATCATACAATTCAGATTTCGGCCACTTTTTTGGGTGAAAGTTCACCCAGGGTTTCGTACCTCCGCTTGGAAATCATCCATATCAGACGCGTCTGCCTGCCTGGGACGTGGCTGCTCACACGTACGTGACTCAGTCTGCTATGTCACTTGTTCAGTGAACAATACTCCGCGCATTCATCCAAAACGTTTCGTAATAATCCATTATTTTTTGTGCTTGTTTATTGAGTGTGCGAAATAAGCCACCATGGAGACAAAGAAAGTTCCTAGTGCCAGCCCTTTGGTAAAGAAGGTGAGAAACACAATAGAATTCAAGAAAGAGCCTGTAGAAAAATACAAAAGTGGTGTAAGTGTGGCTGAGCCTGCCAGGATGTATAGCAAGTCCAAATCAACAATCAGTTCCATCCTGCCAAGCAAAGTAGAAATCAAGGAAGATGAAGATGTGGAGAAGTTGTTGTTGTTGGTGTGGATCAACAAAAAACAGTTAGTGGGAGATAGGGTTGTGGAGGGGATAATTTGCAAAAAGGCAAGGCAGTTGCATGCGGATCTCGTAATGAAAATGCCTGGAACGAGCGCTGCTGTTAGTGAATTTAAGTCCAGCAAAGGCTGGTTTGACAGATTCAAGAAGCAAAGTGGCATACACAGTGTGGTAAGGCATGGCAAGGCTGCAAGTTCGGACAAACGTGCGGCCAAAGAATTCGTTGATGAATTCAAGGAGTACATAGAGGCTGAAGGATTCCTCCCCAACAAGTGTTTAATTGTGACAAAACAGGCCTCTTTTGGAAGAAAATGCCAAAGAGGATCTACATCACGCAGGAGGAAAAGGTACTGCCAGGACATAAGCCTATGAAGGATAGGCTAACTCTTGTGCTGCTGTAATGCTAGTGGGGATTTCAAAGTGAAGCCTTTACTGGTGTATCACTCTGAAAATCGCTGAGTGTTCAAGAAAAATAATGTCATGAAGAGTAAATTGTATGCGATGTGGAAGGCTAACAATAAAGCATGGGTCACAAGGCAATTTTTCATTGAGTGGGTTAATAAAGTGTTGGGCCTGAGTATGAAGAAATACCTCCTGGAAAATAAATTGCCACTCGAGTGTCTCCTGGTAATGGACAATGCTCCTGCTCATCCTCCAAACTTGGAAGACCAATTATTTGAGGAGTTTAGTTTCATCACAGTTTAGTTCTTGCCCCCCTAATACCACTCCTCTCATCCAGCTTATGGACCAGCAGGTCATTTCAAACTTCAAAAAACTCTACACCAAAGCAATGTTTCAAAGGTGCTTTGAAGTGACCTCTGACAATGAACTGACCCTAAGAGAGTTTTGGAGGAATCACTTCAATATCCTCAAGTGCATAAGTTTTATAGATAAGGCTTGGCAGGAAGTGACTTCCAGGACCATGAACTCTACTTGGAGAAAATTGTGGCCAGAATGTGTCCTTGAGAAGGATTTTGAAGGGTTGGAGACTGACCCTGCCAACCCTATGCCTATTGTGGAATATATTGTGTCTTTGGGGAAGTCCATGGGGGTTGGATGTGAGTGGCCAGGATGTGGAAGAGTTGGTGGAGGACCACAGGGAAGAGCTAACCACTGAAGAGCTGCAAGACCTTCAATTGGAACAGCAACAGATCGCAGCTGCGGAAACTGCTTCAGAGGAGGAGGAAGAGAGAGGAGAGAATATGCCTTCTTCAGTGATTAAGCACATTTGTACAAAGTGGAGTGAGGTGCAAAGTTTTGTGGAGAATTATCACCCTAACAAAACTGTTGCAAGCTGTGTCTGCAACATGTTCAATGATAATGCCTTGTCCCATTTTTGGCAAATCTCAAAGAGACACCAGAAACAGAGCTCTCTGGACAGATTTTTTGTGTGACAGGGATCCAGTGACTCTCTAGCTGGCCCTAGTGCCAGTACCTGGAGTTTACCTGGAGTTTACCTGGAGAGAGTTCCGGGGGTCAACGCCCCCGTGGCCCGGTCTGTGAACAGGCCTCATGGTGGAACAGGGCCTGATCAACCAGGCTGTTACTGCTGGCTGCACGCAATCCAACGTACGAGCCACAGCCCGGCTGGTCAGGTAGCGACTTTAGGTGCCTGTCCAGTGCTTGCTTGAAGACAGCCAGGGGTCTATTGGTAATCCCCCTTATGTATGCTGGGAGGCAGTTGAACAATCTTGGGCCCCTGACACTTATTGTGTTGTCTCTTAGCGTGCTAGTGACACCCCTGCTTTTCATTGGGGGATGTTGCAGCGTCTGCCGAGTCTTTTGCTTTCAGAGAGAGCGATTTTCGTGTGCAAGTTTGGTACTAGTCCCTCTAGGATTTTCCAGGTGCATATAATCATGTATCTCTCCCGCCTGCGTTACAGGGAGTACAGGTTCAGGAACTTTAAGTGCTCCCAGTAACTGAGGTGTTTTATCTCCATTATGCGTGCCGTGAAGGTTCTCTGTACATTTTCTAGGTCAGCAATTTCACCTGCCTTGAAAGGTGCTGTTAGTGTGCAGCAATATTCCAGCCTAGATAGAACAAGGGACCTGAAGAGTGTCATCATGGGCTTAGCATCTCTAGTTTTAAAGGTTCTCATTATCCATCCTGTCATTTTTCTAGCAGATGTGACTGATACAATGTTATGGTCCTTGAAGGTGAGATCCTCCGACATGATCACTCCCAGGTCTTTGATGTTAGTTTTTCGCTCTATTGTGTGGCTGGAATTTGTTTTATACTCTGATGAAGTTTTAATTTCTTCATGTTTACCATATCGGAGTAATTGAAATTTCTCATCGTTGAACTTCATATTGTTTTCTGCAGCCCATTAAAAGATTTCGTTGATGTCTGCCTGGAGCCTTGCAGTGTCTGCAATGGAAGACACTGTCATGCAGATTCGGGTGTCATCTGCAAAGACACGGCGCTGTGGCTTACATCTTTGTCTATGTCAGATATGAGGATGAGGAACAAGATAGGAGTGAGTACTGTGCCTTGTGGAACAGAACTTTTCACCGTAGCCACCTCAGACTTTACTCTGTTTACTACTACTCTTTGTGTTCTATTTGTGAGGAAGTTATAGATCCACCTACCAACTTTTCCTGTTATTCCTTTAGCATGCATTTTGTGCGCTATTATGCCATGGTCACATTTGTCGAAGGCTTTTGCAAAGTCTGTGTATATTACATCTGCATTCTTTTTGTCTTCTAGTGCATCTAGGACCTTGTCGTAGTGGTCGAGTAGTTGGGAGACAGATAGAAGCAACCTGCTCTAAACCCATGTTGCCCTGGGTTGTGTAATTGATGGGTATCTAGATGGGTGGCAATCTTGTTTCTTAGGACCCTTTCAAAGATTTTTATGATATGGGATGTTAATGCTATCGGTCTGTAGTTCTTTGCTATTGCTTTACTGCCCCTTTTTGGAGTGGGGCTATGTCTGTTGTTTTTAGTAACTGTGAGACGACCCCAGTGACCATGCTCCCTCTCCAAAGGATGTTAACCCTTTCAGGGCCTCCAGGCCCTCTCCCAGACTTGTTCTCAGGGTCGCCCAAATTTCAAAAAAAAAAATATATATATAAATTTTTTCTTATGAAAAGATAATCTTTTCCCAATCATAATGACGCCAAAAGTATGAAATTTGATGGAAAACTTACAGAATTATGCTCTCGCGAAGTTAGCGGTCTCGACAATGTTTACACATCGGCGATTTTGCCCACTTTGAGCCCTATTTTCGGCCAATTCCAGTGTACTAGTCGACAAAAATCACAACTATTTCGCTAGAACTCCATTTTTTCTATCGAATGAGTACAAGAAACCACCCATTTACTGATTTCAACTATCCAATACAGTGGTCAGAATTTAGCAATTTTGCCAATGTCACACAAATTTCAAAAGATGCCAATTTCCAAACAGGGTCCAGAATAAACAAGAAAGACATTCCTGGCACTAAAATAGCATTCCCTCTGTTCATTAGTTACGTCTCAAGGCCCCTCTTACATTCTTCTGCTTTCCACTTTGAATTTTTATTCTCAAAAAAAATAGAAGATTTACTGTTATGCAGACTACTGCATTAGTGTAAAAATGGTATAAATAATATTGGCGCACTTGTGAAAGAATATTAGACTCACCAGTTGACATGTATTGGACGCTTAGCATAATTTGTTTACTTTAGAACTTTGGTAAAAATCGAACATTTCTGCTACTTTGAGCTCAATTTCAAGATGCTTTTCATTGTAAAATCAGTCAAAATCATCTCAATTTCTGTAATATGTCTTCCATTCTATAAAATGAAACCAAGAAAACTAGAATACAACAATAAATACCATACGAAAATACAGTGCAAATTCGCTGTTTTATTCCAAAAACACGGTCAAAGTTTTTTTTTCTCATTATGCACTGTGTGCTGCAGGATTTTTTTTATACTGCGCACACTGACCACATAGACCCATTCTTTCATATGTATTCCTACCAGCTTTCTCCCACTAGATTTGAGGGCGCTAGAATTTAGGCGTACTAGTACGTCAAAAACCCTGGGTCATAAGCCGTACTAGTACGGCCAAAACCCTCAAAGGGTTAAAAGGTTTTCCTCATTCAGTGATGAAAAATAAAATACAGTGGACCCCCGCCTTACGATATTAATTCATTCCAGAAGTCTGTTCGGGTGCCATTACCGAACAAATTTGTTTCCGTAAGGAATATTGTAAATTAGATTAGTCCATTTCAGACCCCCAAAAATACACGTACAAAAGCACTTACAAAAATACACTTACATAATTGTTCAAGTTGGGAGCTGATTGTAAGGCGGGGGTCCATTGTACTAGCCTCATTGAGTCTGCATGTCAAATGTCTAAAGTACAATACTATATTGAACCTGGAGTATACCTGGAGAGAGTTTCGGGGATCAATGCCCCCACAGCCCTGTCCGTGACCAGGCCTCATGGCGGATCAGGGCCTGATCAACCAGGCTGTTACTGCTGACCACACATAAACCAACGTACGAATCACAGCCTGACTGATCAGGTACTGACTTTAGGTGCCTGTCCAGCACCTTCTTGAAGACAGCCAGGCAGTTATTTCTTAAAATAAAGAGCCTACAATGGTATACAGTACAGCCTCTCCTTACTTACCAACAGAGTTTTGTTCCTAAGACCACGTCGGTAAACGAATTTGTCGCTAAGTGGTGATGAGTTTGTGTCAACCATTTTTTATATTGTTTTAATGTCACCTTTGCACTATTTATAACATTTCTGGTATATTTTTAAATGTTTATACAGTACAGTAATGTACTGTGCATATATTGTAATAAACAGAATAGAGGATATCAGCTCTAATATGCATTATTTAGGTATGAATACTGGTCAGAGAGCCCGTTGTAAGTCCGAGTTGTCAGTAAACAAGTAAGTCGCTAACTTAGAAGGCTGTATTATAATTTGCAAGCACTAAATAGTATACTGCATAATAAAGTACAGTGGTACCTCTACTTATGAGTGTCCCAACTTACAAGTTTTCTGAGTTACGAGCCGTCGCTCGATCGATTTTTTGTTTCGAGCTGCAAGCCAAAATCTGAGTTACGAGTGAGCTTCACAAAAGAAAAAACAAATGAAAACAAATATTTACTGAAAATGACATTTGGCAAGGCCCCCAGTCTAAATGGCACAACGAAAGGTGGTTTTGCACCTTGGTATTTATAAAACAATGCTAGTGTGATGTTCTCACTGGAGATAATCATGTAATTATCTTTGGTTATTCTACAAAAAATAAAGTTACTAAGTTTTTGACATTTGCAAAATATCTTGCCCTTTACTTCCACACAAAACTCAAAATATTTGGAAAATTTCCAGTATCCCACAAGGCAATTGTAGATAATTTTTTTTATGATTCCTGTCAATATTATTGCATTTACTTCAATAATAAATGGCGGGCTTCATGAAATAAGTCAGTGTTTTCCTCATGAAACTAGTGATCTAGTGCAGTTAGCCTCTCAAAAATTCCATTTTCTCTTACCCTGGATCAAAGAACACATTATAGGAAGGAACAGTAATGATTTTATATGACTGGACTGGTCCTGGACACTCACCATATTACAGCATATTTTATTCATTCTAGAGTATATATAATGTTTCTATGTTACTTATAGTGTTTATTATGTCATATTAGATCAATTCTGATAGATAAATAAGCCACAGAGTTGATATTTACGTTATATTGAAGTATTTTCTCCTGCCCCTCGAGCCTTAGAAATTCCGCCTACGTAAGCAAGTGTTCTCAGACGGTTCCTGATCTCCAAGGTAAATACACCTTATAAAACCAGTTTATTTCTTTACATTCTCTTTCATTATGTTTTTATACAATATTTCTTTTTTATAAATACATTTTTCTTATTTAAAAACCCATAACAAAATAATTGGGGTGGTTTTTTGGGGGTTGGAACAGATTAATGGCATTTCAGTTAATTTCAATGAGGAAAATTTATTTGATATATGAGCAAACTGAGTTACGAGCTCTGTCATGGAACGAATTAAACTTGTAAGTCAAGGTACCGCTGTACTACATAGTACACAAGTACTGTAGTCTGCTAAAAACTTCTGTAGAGAGTTACAGTATATGCAAGAATTGTTAAGAGACCTCTAAGCCATCTGATCGTGCATTACTGTCCTGGAACAATTTGCTATAAATTACTTACCAACAAGAACTACAGGTACTTTAGGGCAGTGTTGCTGGAGTTCTGGCAACCATTTTGACGTAACATTCTCAAAACTAGCACGGTTATCAAGAGCGAAGCACACGATGAATACATTTGTCTGGAATATGGATTAACCAAGTGTTCATCAACCATTTAAATTAAGCATAGTATATATACTATTAAAATGTGCATTCTAGCTCTAACTCCAAAAACTAATATAGACAAAAGAATCAATAAAAGATCTGAAACCATTTAGTCTATTTTTCTAACCTTGAATCAAATCAAATGTGTTTATATTTCATAATTTGACTGGTACAAAGAAAGCTGCTATCATGCCGAGGCATTTTGGGCAGACTTAACCTAATACTTAAAGACCACTTAAGTCTAGACAGGTAAAGAGTTGTAGATTACAAATATTTAATACTATTTTACTCTATTATTAATATGAGGTAGAATAATTAATGACACAAACATACATTTTTAAGTTTGTAATTATGGCTTAATAGTTAAGGGATAATAAAATATTTGGGAGAGTTGCTTTAAATCTGGTTAGAGTCTAGCATAATGTGGGTATGGTTGTTATAGAGAAATGAGGTGATTTTTGAGTATAGTCCTAAATTGATTTGTGGGCAGGGGCCCTCTTGCTGTTTCGGGCAGAGAGTTTCAGATCTTCAGGCCCTTTATGTGCACTGCATTTTTGCATAGTGTGAGACGGACACAAGGGATGTCAAAAAGTGTTTTGTGCCTCGTGTTATGCCTGTGTGTTCTGTTGCAGCTGTCTAGGAGAAGTTTCAGTGGAGGGATGATATTGGTGTTTAATGTTCTGTATATATAGTAGGCACAATAATATGTGTTTATATTTTGTATATTTAAAGGTAGTAGGTTGGTAGACAGCAACCGCCCAGGGAGGTACTACCGTCCTGCCAAGTGAGTGTAAAACGAAAGCCTGTAATTGTTTTACATGATGGTAGGATTCCTGGTGTCCATTTTTCTTTCTCATAAACATGCAAGATTTCAAATACGTCTTGCTACTTCTACTTACACTTAGGTCACACTACACATACATGTACAAGCATATATATACACACCCCTCTGGGTTTTCTTTTTAGTTCTTGTCCTTGTTTATTCCCTCTTACCCCCATGGGGAAGTGGAACAGAATTCTTCCTACGTAAGCCATGCGTGTTGTAAGAGGTGACTAAAATGCCAGGAGCAAGGGGCTAGTAACCCCTTCTCCTGCATATATTACTAAATGTAAAAGGAGAAACTTTCGTTTTTCCTTTTGGGCCACCCCGCCTCGGTGGGATACGGCCGGTGTGTTGAAAGAAAGAAAGATTTTGTATATTAAGTAAGTTCAAGCTTTTGAAGAGTAGTGGGGTGTGTTGTCTGGTGCAGGAGTTTGTGATCATCAGCACTGCCACTTTTTGTTGGGTTTTTAAAGGTTTAAGGTGATTGGTAGTGGTAGATCCCTAAGCACAAATACCATAGGTGGGGTAAGGGTACCTTAGGGAGTAATATAAAGTAAGGAGCACCATTTGAGGTACATAGTATCATATCTTGGAAAGGATACCTATTGTTTTGGAAACTTTCTTAGTTATATGCTGGATGTTGGTCTGAAATTAAAGATTACAGTCAAGGTGGAGACCTAGAAATTTGCCCTTAGTGTGTCTTGTAATGGGTGAACCATTTATTGATGTTTGTTAGTGTTGAACAATGGAGCATTTAACTTGTAACAAAATTATCATTAACTAAACAACTCATATAACAATAAAAAAATGAGCAAGTACAGAATTACATACTGCCCACAGGATGGGTAAGGGGTACATAATAACCATATTAAACTAAACTGGAGTACTGTACAAAAAACTGAGCCTTAAATTGGACACACTCTCAAGTCGATAATTTGTACTGAAAATAGGAAAAAACAGTACAATATTTAAATTTTTTGCAATAAGTATAATGAAGAGAACAGAGTTTAGCACTGGAGTTTACCTGGAGAGAGTTCCGGGGGACAATGCCCCCGCGGCCCGGTCTGTGACCAGGCCTCCTGGTGGATCAGAGCCTGATCAACCAGGCTTTTACTGCTGGCTGCACGCAAACCAACGTACGAGCCACAGCCCGGCTGGTCAGGAACCGACTTTTCCTGTTATTCCTTTAGCACGCATTTTGTGCGCTATTACGCCATGGTCACACTTGTCGAAGGCTTTTGCAAAGTCTGTATATATTACATCTGCATTCTTTTTGTCTTCTAGTGCATCTAGGACCTTGTCGTAGTGATCCAATAGTTGAGACAGACAGGAGCGACCTGTTCTAAACCCATGTTGCCCTTGGTTGTGTAACTGATGGGTGGTGATCTTGCTTCTTAGGACCCTTTCAAAGATTTTTATGATATGGGATGTTAGTGCTATTGGTCTGTAGTTCTTTGCTATTGCTTTACTGCCCTCTTTGTGGAGTGTGGCTATGTCTGTTGTTTTTAGTAACTGTGGGACGACCCCCGTGTCCATGCTCCCTCTCCATAGGATGGAAAAGGCTCGTGATAGGGGCTTCTTGCAGTTCTTGATGAACACGGAGTTCCATAATAATAATAATAATAATAATAATAATAATAATAATAATAATAATAATAATAATAATAATAATAATAATGAATATAAAAAGGATGTGACTGAAAAAAAACTTGAAAAATAACACTACAGCAGAGCACAATTTTAACTGTCAAGATATCAGATGTAGAACCATTAAGAAAGGGCTGAGGGTGAATGAACAAAACAAATTCAGCAGTGACCTTACAGAAAAAAAAAATGTAAATTGGCTACATCTTTGATATTCTTGTGGCCAGTTTCTGGTTTTTCTACCCCATGTAGCTCAGTCTGGTGCCAGGCTTTTCTGATTAACCAGGCTGTTGCTGTTGGTGGCCTGCTGGCCTACATATCCATTGTAGCCTAGTTAATCTGGCACTTGGTGGAAGATGTGATCCAGTTTCCTCTTGAAAACTATCTTTGTTCAGGCCAATGACACCTCTGTCTTTCACTGGATCTGTTTTACACTTCCTCACACCTCTCTCTCTCTCTCCAGTACATTGTTATGTAGTAGAGTTGCTACATACCAGATAATCAAGGATGAACTAAAGTAACATAAAAAGTTCTTTAAAAGAGAAAAGGTTCAAGCCAAACTCTTCAAACAATTTGAAGATTTATATAACTCACTGGTAGAACACTCAGTTCACAATCAATGGGACTTGAAGGTCAATTCCCAGGTAGGGCAAGATATATAACAAGTCTCCTCAAACCTCTTGCTCTTGTTCACCTATCAATAAATACTTAAAGGTTAGCCAACTGTTCTGGATTGCTTTCTGGGGGACTGGAGAAGAGAGGATAAACTACAGTAAGTATTCTTGATTAGGCCAGGCTTGAAATAAGCTGAGGTAGAATAGCTTTTAGCCTGCCAATTTAACCAGGCTAAAAAAAAAAAAAATGTGTCAAAGTCTCCCACCAATGTCTTAAGGCACTGTTTATATTAGTGTGTCTTAATGAAATAACTTATCAAAAAAATACAATAAATTTACAGAAGTGGTTGACAGATAAATACCCCAGGATATGAGAGAGGACGAAGTCGTTCATACTCTTCTTGGCCAGCAGTGTCCCACAACATCATAGAATAGGTTCGCTCCTCCACAGTATGAGTTCCTGCATAGTTGTCAAAAACTGTTGGTACATACTCCTGCAAATAAATTTATAGGGAAGATCATACATTTGAAGAACATATGCTAGTGCCTGGGATGGGGTGGGGGGATGTGGGGGCATGTGCAATAATTACAAACAAGTGATAAAAGACAGCTCTAGGCTTTTTGTGTTGCAATCAACATATCAAGAGCTTGCAATGTTGCAGAAATAGAATAGGAAATGCAGGCATATTTGTTCCAGAGAACAACTCTCTCCAGAATAACAGGAATGGGTGTCAAGCAGGGTGCCAAGTGCCAGAAAGTGAAGATAGCACTAATATCTAGATGTTAGGTTAACATAACATTGATATTCAATATGAACAGCTAAGGAATCAAATGCGATAGTCAAACACACCCAGGCTTGCAATAACCCTACAAACTGGTCAGAAGCCAGGGTTCTGCTTCCTTGCTTCTCTAGGCTGGAAAAAAGATATTTTAAAACTGGCAATTATAAAATATGATAAATGTTCATATAATAATAGTTTTGGTTTGTTCAAACTTGACTCCTTTACAATTGAAGGCATTGTACATAATCTGAAGCCAGATTCCTAAAAGAATTCACTAAATTGTTGTAAATGTAGTACCACATTGATGAACTGAGGGGTACTTAGGGCCTGCTCTTCCTGCCACTTTTGTGGTTTGACAAGCATCTAAGCAGGGTTGATTTCTTTAAAATAAGATCAGCTACCCTCTTGTTTAAGAGATGCCCTAGACCCATTTTTTTAATACAATTGGAAATTTCCTATAAAGTGCCAGATACTCTTAGAATCAGAATTTGAAGTCTTTTGTAACAAAATGGTTTGGGGTCTGGAGGCATATTTGTGATAACTGGTATGTCACTAATGTGCTCACCTGGTTAATACTACATATTCAATGCTTATGAGCTTCATATGCTTATATTCTGTAATAAAGTCATCTGCATTTTCTGGCACTAGGCACCCTGCTTAGCACACAGTCCTGTTATTCTGGAGAGAGTTGTTCCCCTGAGCAAATCTGCCTGGATTTCCTGCAACACTGCAAGCTCCTGAAATGTTGATTGCAACGCAGAAGTCCTAGAGCTATCATTCAACTCCTGCTGTGGTTATTTTGCATGTATATGGATGCACACACACACACACACACACACACACACATATATATGTCGTGCCGAATATGTAAAACTGGTAAATTAACGAGAACTCATTTAAAATTAAGCCCTTTCTAAAATTTTCTCTTAAACGTTTAAAGATATTTTTTTTTCATTAATGTTAATGTAAAAATTTATAATATTTCACAAAAGAATCTTAGAAAACTTAACTAACCTTATTATAAGAAGAGGAATTTATTTTAGCCTAACCCAAATAAATATATTTTAGACACTTTTACAATAATTTAATACTAAACACACACAATGAAATATATTTTTCTCGTTAGGTTCAGAATGATTTTTGCGAAATTATTGCATACTCAAATTTTCGCTTGTCATATATGGCAAGATGAGCGCTGCTATTTAAGCCAAGATCGCAAGTTTTACATATTCGGCACAACATATATACATTATATATATATATATATATATATATATATATATATATATATTAATATATATATATATATATATATATATATATATATATATATATATATATATACAGTGGACCCCCGGTTAACGATATTTTTTCACTCCAGAAGTATGTTCAGGTGCCAGTACTGACCGAATTTGTTCCCATAAGAAATATTGTGAAGTAGATTAGTCCATTTCAGACCCCCAAACATACACGTACAAACGCACTTACATAAATACACTTACATAATTGGTCACATTTGGAGGTAATCGTTATGCGGGGGTCCACTGTATATATATATATATAATGTTGTGCCGAATTTGTAAAACTGGTCAATTAGCAAGAACTCATTTAAAATTAAGTCGTTTCCAAAATTTTCTCTTATACGTTTAAAGATATATTTTTTTTCATTAATGTTGATGTAAATTTTTTTAATTTTGCACCAAAAGAAACTTAGAAAACTTACCTAACCTTGTTATAGCAAGAGCAATTTATTTTAGCTTAACCCAACTATATATATTTTAGATTTGTTTACAGTAATTTAATACAAAACAAACACAATGAAATATATTTTTACCGTTAGGTTCAGAATGATTTTGGCGAAATTATTGCATACACAAATTTTCACTTGTCCTATATGGCAAGATGAGCGTCGCTATTTAAGCCATGATCGCAAGTTCTGCCTATTCGGCACAACACACACACACACACAGACACACACACACACATATATATATATATATATATATATATATATATATATATATATATATATTTTTTTTTTTTTTTTTTTTTTTTCAACGAGTTGGCCGTCTCCCACCGTGGCAGGGTGACCCAAAAAAGAAAGAAAATCCCCAAAAAGAAAATGCTTTCATCATCATTCAACACTTTCACCACACTCACACATTATCACTGTTTTTGCAGAGGTGCTCAGAATACAACAGTTTAGAAGCATACACATATAAAGATGTGGGTAAGACACATATGCAACAGTTAGGTATCTTTATTATGAAACGTTTCGCCTACACAGTAGGCTTCTTCAGTCAAGTACAGAAAAGTTGATAGAAGCAGAAGATACTTGAAGACGATGTAATCAGTCCATCACCCTTAAAGTTTTGAGGAGGTCAGTCCCTCAGTCTGGAGAAGAGCATTGTTCCATAGTATGAAACAATATGGAGAAGAAGTGACAGGATGGAGCTTTTTATAGCGCCAAGAGGTGAGACGTAGGCCACTAGGAGAGGTAAGAACTCAGATGTTGAAAGGTCCAGACTGAGGGACTGACCTCCTCAAAACTTTAAGGGTGATGGACTGATTACATCGTCTTCAAGTATCTTCTGCTTCTATCAACTTTTCTGTACTTGACTGAAGAAGCCTACTGTGTAGGCGAAACGTTTCATAATAAAGATACCTAACTGTTGCATATGTGTCTTACCTAACAACCTGTCGGTATTTTATACCATTTTAATGTTCACATATAAAGATACACAACATATCCCTCCAAACTGCCAATATCCCAAACCCCTCCTTTAAAGTGCAGGCATTGTACTTCCTATTTCCAGGACTCAAGTCCGACTATATAAAAATAACCGGTTTCCCTGAATCCCTTCACTAAATATTACCCTGCTCACACTCCAACAGATTGTCAGGTCCCAAGTACCATTCGTCTCCATTCACTCATATCTAACACGCTCACGCACGCTTGCTGGAAGTCCAAGCCCAGGGAGGTACTACCGTCTTGCCAAGTGAGAGTAAAACGAAAGCCAGTAATTGTTTTACATGATGGTAGGATTGCTGGTGTCCTTTTTTCTGTCTCATGAACATGCAAGATTTCAGGTATGTCTTGCTACTTCTACTTACACTTAGGTCACACTACACATACATGTACAAGCATATATATACACACCCCTCTGGGTTTTCTTCTACGTATTTTCTTTCTGGTTCTTATTCTTGTTTATTTCCTCTTATCTCCATGGGGAAGTGGAACAGAATTCTTCCTCCGTAAGCCATGCGTGTTGTAAGAGGCGACTAAAATGCCGGGAGCAAGGGGCTAGTAACCTCTTCTCCTGTATATATTACTAAATGTAAAAGAAGAAACTTTCGTTTTTCCTTTTGGGCCACCCCGCCTCGGTGGGATACGGCCGGTGTGTTGAAAGAAAGAAAGATATAGTATATATGTGTACTCACCTAATTGTGGTTGCAGGGGTCGAGACTCAGCTCCCGGCCCCGCCTTTTCACTGATCGCTACTGGGTCCTCCCTCTCTCTGCTCTATGAGCTTTATCATACCTCTTCTTAAAACTATGTATGGTTCCTGCCTCCACTACACCGCTTGTCAGACTATTCCACTTCTGAACAACTCTGTGGCTGAAGAAATATACTTCCTAACATCCCTTTGACTCATCTGAGTCTTCAGCTTCCAATTGTGACCCCTTGTTTCAGTGTCCCATCTCTGGAACCAGCCTTGTTGCAAACCTTTGCATTTTCTCTAATTTCTTGACGTGCTTGACCAGGTGTGGGTTTCAAACTGGTGCTGCATACTCCAGTATGCAGGCTCTATACACTGTGTACGTTAGGCCCATACTGGAGTATGCAGCACCAGTTTGGAACCCACACCTGGTCAAGCACATCTGCAGTCTTCTTTGCCCTTCTCCGATGTTCATGACTTTGAATTTGGTGGGGTTAAATTCTAAGAGCCAGTTGCTGGACCACACATCCAGCCTGTTCAGGTCTCTTTGTAGACCTGTCTGATCAGAATCTGATTTAATTCTCCTCATTAACTTCACATCATCTGCATACAGGGACACTTCTGAGTCTATCCCTTCCATCATGTCATTCACATATACCAAGAATAGCACTGGTCCCAGGACTGACCCCTGTGGGACCCCGCTCGTCACAGGTGCCCACTGTGATACCTCGTCACATACCAAGACTCGCTGTTGCCTCCCTGTTAGGTATTCTCCGATCCATTGCAGTGCCCTTCCTGTTATACGTGCGTGATCCTCTAGCTTCTGTACTAATCTCTTGTAAGGAACTGTGTCGAAGGCCTTCCTGCAGTCCAGGAAAATGCAATCAACCCACCCCTCCCTCTCATGTCTTACTTCAGTTACCTTGTCATAAAACTCTAGTAGGCTTGTGACACAGGATTTGCCTTCCATGAATCCATGCTGGTTGTCGTTTATAACCTTGTTCTGCTACAGGTGCTCCACCAATCCTTTCCTGATAATCTTCTCCCTGACTTTGCATACTATACACGTCAGTGACACTGGTCTATAATTTAGTGCTTTGTTTCTGTCTCCTTTCATGCCGTCTTCCATACCTCAGGTGGTTGCCCAGTTTCAAGGGATGTGTTGAAGACTGGTTAGTTGCACACATAGTGTCTCTGCTCCCTCTCTAAGGACCCACAGAGAGATGTCTGGTGTGTGTGTGTGTGTGTGTGTGTGTGTGTGTGTGTGTGTGT